AGATTTTAAAAGAACTTTGGCTTGCTTGATTTAGAGGATTAATTTGACCTAGACCATGGGCCATGAATCTTGGACCAAAGTTACATTTCTAAGAGACAAATCTGGATTAATTTAGTGCCTTCTATTGCCCTTTTTATGAAAGCCAGTAGGAGCTTGTTATGTACTATGTTAGTAATTACCCATCAACTTAAATTTGATAGAAGTTACTCTAAGATGTGTAAGGGTTGAAGAGTGAGCGGATTGAGTAGACAGGAAGCCAGATGTCCTTCAGAAAATCAGTTAAAGATATTTTAAATGTTAATGGAAATTTCAGATGTGTGTTTTGTAAATTTACTGCATTTGTAGGACCGTGACAGATTAAGAACATGATTTTTGTAGGATTAAATTTTCTGTCTCATTTTCATTATTGCTTTTATTATTTTTTAAAGAAGAATACTTTCCTATTTTATTACTGAATATTAGTAATAAGACTTCTAAATAATAGATAGCTCTAAAGTAATCTTATAAAATAATTTAAATGTTTTCATTTTTTAGGTTTTTATTACTTTTATAGGCTCTTATATTTTTATAACAAATATAGTAAGGTGCAAAAATAATTTAAAAGAGCCTTTTGTTATAAAAATATAGTTACATTATTAAATATTATAAGCAGAACTGGACTTTTCTATTATGTTCTGAATTTTATTGAAAATATACCACATTCTTTCATGTAGAAAACTTGTGGAGATCATTTCAAGGAAGCACAGAAAGAACCAAAAACAATTATGTTTTTAATAGAAATAAATTTCAGGTAATTTATTTTAGAAATAAATCCATACAGTTATATAGTCAACAAATGCATTATGCTTTTGATTCCAGTATTTTCATGTTCCAGACATTTTTAAAACTAACATTTTTAACATTTTTTTTTCCGGTTTAAAAGATTTCCAATTATAGTGTGAAAGCAAAAATTTCCAACAGACCAGAAAAGAACAACTAGCTAAAAACTTCCTGCCTTGTGTACTGGCTGTGCCAACAGAAGGTAAAGCCATCTCTAGATGCCAACTATTTTCGTCTTAGAATGAAACATGCACACATAAATCTTTCCTTCCTGAATCAGTGCACGCTAACTCGTTTTTTTCCTTTTAGCTGCTTTATTGAGATATTTCAGACGCCATAAATTTCACCCATCTGAAGTGTATAACTCAATGGCTTTTAGTACAAGCATAGAGTTGTTTATCCATCAACGTGAACAATTTTAGAACCTTTTTTTAGTCCAGGAAGATGTCCTGCACTTCTTCGCCATCATCCTTTTAACCCCTGACCCACTAATAATCTCTAATTTGCTTTCTGTTTCTATGAATTTGCTTATTCTAGATATTTCATGTAAGTGGAATTATACAGTATTTGTCTTTTTATGTATAACTGACAGTTCATTCTTTATGTATGAGAATGTAGTATTATCAGAACTTTGTTTCTTTTAATGGCTGAAAAATATTCCATCATATGTGTATATATCACAGTTGGTTTAACAGTCCATCAGTGGATGGGCACTTGAGTTGTTTCCATCTTCTGGCTACTGCAATGAAAATTCACATACAAGTATTATTTGAGTCTCGTTTTAAATTCTTTGGGGTTTGTATCTAGGAGTGAAATTGTTGGGTCATATGGTGTATCTGTTTTTAATCTTTTGAAGAACTGCTGCTGCCCCATTTTACATTCTTACCAGCAATGTTTAAGGGCTTCAATTTCTACACATCCTCTCCAATACTTGTTATTTTCTGATTTTGGTGTGATTTTCTTTTTTTTAAGTAGCCCCCAGTAGGTGTATAGTGTTATTTTGTGTTTTCCTAATAATTAGTGACATTGAGCATCTTTTCATGTTCTTATTGACTATTTGTATGTCTTCTTTGGAGAAATGTCAACTTAAGTCCTTTGCCCATTTTTTAAAAAATTATTTTGTTGTTGTTTTAGGGTTGTAAAAGTTATTTACATATTCTAGATATTAAACGCTTCTTCAATATATGATTTCCAAGTATTTTCTTTCATTCTTCTAAGTAGTCTTTTTCACTTTCTTGATAATGTCCTTTGAAACACAAACATTTTTAATTTAGTTGAAGTATAATCTATTTTTTTTTCTTTTGTTGTTTATACTTTTGTTGCCATTTCAAAGGATCCATTTCCAAAGCCTAAGTCTTGAAGATTTGCCCCTGTGTTTTCTTCTAAGAGTTTTACAGATTTAACTTTTATCTTTGGGTTGTTGACTTATCTTGAGTTAATTTTTGTATATGGTGTGATAGAAGAGTCCAACTTTATTCTTTTGTCTATGAATATCCAATTGTCCAGCATCTTTTGTTGAAAGACTGTTCTTTATTCATCTGGTTGTCTTGACACCCTTGTTGAAACCAATTGACTGAATGCATGAGAATTTATTTTTGGATTCTCAGTTCCTTCCATTCATCAAAATGTTTATCCTAATTCTAGCTTTCCTGATTCACTTCCTTGCCATATTCCTACTCTCCTATTCCAGTCCCATATGATGGTGTTTATTTAAATTGGGCAGAAAGTGGCTAAGAAAGACTGTTTTTGAATTTATAGCACAACATCTTTTTTTTTTTTTGATAGTCATAAATTTTGTATTGGTTCTCAAATGTATGGAGACTTACAGATTAAGTGGATTCTTATAACAGAATTTGGCAGAATATTTTGCAAACAATCAGACATTTTCTGTGATTCTATTTCTCTGAGTATTCCAACCTTTATTTAAAAGTGCCTACAATTCTTATGTCTGCTGATATGTGTGACAAACAACACTTTAAACCAGGGGCTGTAGATGTGCTTTGTTTGTCTTTTTCAGTCAAACCTAATCTAAAGATTTAAAAGGTCCCATACTATCTACTTCCAGGAATTTACCAAAGTGCCATGTGCATTGTGGGTACTGAATAAATGCATATTAGAAGAAAGAATGAATCTCTCTGATGTAGATGTCTCTTAATTTCCTATGCAAAATATGTACTAATATATACACATTATCAATATGATTACTTCCATTTTTTATGAACATTTGTGACTTTTATTTTTTCCCCCACTTCCTTGTAAACTTATTTAACCATTATTATAAATTATTAATATCACAGTACTCATTTCATTTCATACCAGTAAATCCCTGCTGAAGCACCCCACCATATTCTCTGTGAAGAAGTGGGTTTCAGAATCACTTATGAATAGGAATTGAGTCTAGTTGATTGAGAAATTA